TTTTTTTTTTTTTTTTTTTTTTTTGTATCAGGAATGAAACTCAGGACCTTGTGCTTGTCAGGCAAGCATGGTGCCACTGAGCTAAATCCCTGGCCCAGGACAAAGGTCTTTGAGGTGGGCCATGAAGGCAGTTGCCCTGGTTCCCTTCCTCCTGCAGGTGGGAAAGGCTGAGGAAGGCGGTGTGGATCAGCATGACGCCAGCCAGGCTGGAGCCCTGGAAGCCTGTCCCTGAACTTCAGAACTCGGGGCCTCCGTCTCCGCATCCTTTGAGCAAGAGAGACTAACGTATGACATGGTGTATTCGATCTTTAGCAGAAGCTGGGATTGGGTTTTCTATTGTTTACTAGCTGCATACTTGGATAAGAAGTTTAAACTCATGGGTTCCAAATCCAGTAAAACGGGACAAATAATGGAACCTAACTCCTAGGACTGATATTAAACACTTAGTTGCTAGGGAAGGAGCAACTGTGTTTCATATATAATGGATTGTCAATGATCATTTATTATTTTCTGATGCATTTTATCTGCCTGTATCTCACTGAAATGTCACCTGCCGGGGTCCAGCCTCGGCGAGAGTTCAGGTCTTTTTTTTTTTGTTTTTTGTGAGGGTCTCACTCTGAAATGTCACCTGCCGGGGTCCAGCCTCGGCGAGAGTTCAGGTCTTTTTTTTTTTGTTTTTTGAGACAGGGTCTCACTATGTAGCCCAGGCTGGTCTCGAACTCCCAGCGATCCTCCTGCCTCAGCCTCCCGAGTGCTGGGATGACAGGCGTGCGCCACCACACCCGGCTGAGAGTTCGGGTCTTGAGCAGGAGGGATGGAGTTGGGGCTTGTGAAGGAATGAGACCCACTCTGTAGGTATGAGGTCGTGCGCCTTCTGAGCATTGGAGGACTTCCTTATTTACATCATATAGCAAAGTTTGCATACAACAATTGGCATACATTTATAATTTCTAAATAAAAACTTTTAAGATCATTTTTCTAATAAACTATATCACATACCTATTTTATTATTGTTATCCCTGGGAACATTTTATCTATTGCCTCAGCTATTATTAATCAAACAATTTTTTACTAAAGGCATAAATGAAAGCAAAAATCGAAAGAACAATCCAAGCTTGCCACCATTTTTTAAAGTTTATACGACTATTTTGGCCACAATGGAAAGACTGTGGCCAACTCTTAGCAGGTCACTAGGTTTTAATAAAGAACTACTGTGGTTATTTAACTTCTTGGTTAAACTTTTATTTTATATAGTCAGAAAGCAAGTATTTTGCACTTACTAAGCCTTTTTATAATAACTATTTAGGTGCCTGGCAATAGTATTTACTTGTTCTTTAGTGTGTAGACATCACTGTGTTCCTGAACATTTTATTCTTTTTACAAAGGGCAAATCTTGATATGTCACTCATTTTTTATCTTTTTACACCATTCTAACTTCATCTATGTAAGCCCTAGTGTAGGAAACGGGGGTGGGGGTGGGGGGAGGTTGCCTAATGGCCATGAGATCACTCTACCACAAATCTTTGAGCACCTCTCTGGGATTTTTATAAGTAATTGGACGCTCGGATGAAAACTGGGGGACCCTTGTCGGAGTGAAATCTTCAACTATTGAAAAACTGGAAACCCCTTCAAAGAAAGTCTCTGGATCAGGGGTTGCGCTTAGGGACTCAGTGACTGACACAATTGACACATATTTCTCAGCAGTAGCTTGTACAGGTTTTTTCATTAAAGCTAAATTTCCCATAATTACAATTAAGCCAATCAAAAGTGCACGCCGGGGATTTAGCTCAGCGGTTCGGTGGCCTGCCTTGCAAGCGCAAGGACCCTACTTCAATCCCCGGTATGCCCCCGCAAAAAAAAGTGCAAGCAAAAGTAAAACCGGAGCGATGCTTTCAACCCGAGGCCCGTCATTGCTGGAACTTTGTCAAGCAGCAATAGAGGAACCGTGGGTCTCCCTAGTCACCATTTCTCTGTATGGCAGGTACTCTTATATTACGTAATATAGAAGGCACCTGACACTAAGGGCACATGCGTCTTCACCAAAAACTGTTAATGAGCTCTCTTTTGTCACAGAAAAGAAAAAGGGGCATGGAAAGGCGCTTTGCAAAGCATAAGGTTCCGCACAAGTTTTTGTTACAACTGTTACATCACCTTTTGTGGTCATAATCCTTTATTCTTTCTGAGCTCCCGTGATGGTCCCCTAGTTACAGTGGCCATGGAAACGCTGCCCGCTGGTCCAGATCAGATGGCTCGCTGGCTCCCCTTGGAGGCCACCTTCCATTCCTGCTGCTTGACGACCGGGCGTGGCTTTAAAACGCGCGCGAGGAGCGCTGGGAGTTGTAGGCCACAGGCATGGCTGCCCTGGAGCGGAGCACGGTGGGAACTGTAGTTCCTAGGTCGAGGGGGTTGGCGGCCCAGACCGAACTCCGGCCTCCTACGGATGGCGGCTGCGACAAGCAGCTTCCGGCCCCGGGGCTCGCTTCTCGGGCTGCTGGTGCTGGTCTCGGCCGCGACCGCCACCTGGGACTTGACTTCGCTGCGCTGCAACTTTGGCTCCTTCTGCGAATGTGACTTCCGGCCAGACCTGCCGGGTGAGGGACCTGGGAGCTGGGGGCAGGGAGTAGGCCCCGGGCTGGAGCATCTGTGGACCTGGAGGAGGAACCGCAGGCGTGACCCGTGGACTTGGGAGAGAAGCTGAGAGTTTGGAGCACACACCGGAGACGAGGGGTTGGGGTGACCGTTGGGGGTACCCAAGGACTTGCCAGGATGGAGAGAGATCCTTGACAGTAGGGCCCCTGGTGGTCGTGTCCACGGAATGTACCGACCGGTCAGGGAGGAGCTTGCTCTGGGGACAGGTTGGGGTCTGGGGCCCAACTCAGCTCACGCTCATTTAAGGCTGCAATCTAGCGAGCGGCCGAGTGAGGGCGCTGCCGAGCTGAGCCAGTCTGAGGGCTCCCCTGCAGCCAGAGACCCCCCCTCCCAAGGGTCCCATGTCCTTCTGCGTCCCAAACCCAGGGTTTCCCGTGCCAGGTCGCAGATGTGATTTCCCCCGTGGAACTCTCTTGCTAGGGATGTGTTCTCAGCTCTGACGCTACTTTTGTGGCCCCAGGCCTGGAGTGTGACCTGGCCCAGCATCTGGCTGGCCAGCATCTGGCTAAAGCGCTGGTCTTGAAGTCGCTGAAGGCCTTCGTGCAGGACCCAGCCCCCACCAAGCCACTGGTCCTCTCCCTGCATGGCTGGACTGGCACCGGCAAGTCCTTCGTCAGCTCCCTGCTGGCGCAGTACCTGTTCCGGAGCGGCCTCCGCAGCCCCCACGTGCACCACTTCTCCCCCATCATCCACTTCCCACACCCCAGCCACATCGAGCGCTACAAGGTAGGCTGGACACATCCTGGAGGCTGTTCACTGGCTCCACGGGGTGAAGGACCACAAGCAGTGAGTGCTGAGCCCAGAGAGAGGAGTCACTTGCCCCAGGCCACACAGCCAGCTGGACCTCAGCCCTCGGCACCCATCCTGAACAGGGATTGGAAATGGCAGCTTCTCCCTGGCAGGCAGCTGTCTGATTCCAGGGTGGTGGGCAGTTGTGGCTCCTACTGCCAGAGTTGTTGCGAAGGATGTGGGTGGGATTCTCCAGTTGCACATATTACTTATCGGGCACCTCTGTTTGCCCAAAAGTCTGCGTTATCCTCTTCGCCGTAGTTGGTGCCATGGAGGAAGCAGTGAATACCAGCTCTGCTGACTGTTGTTGACTGCAAGGCTCTTTACTGTTTAGGCTGATCTGTCCTGGCTGGCAATATCATTGGGCAGGAGCAGGGAGCAGGAAGTAGTGGGTGGTATGGAAGGGGGCCATATCAGGGAGATGCGGGGCTTCGGTTTGCATCCCTGTTCTCCCGCCGAGTGGCTGTGTGACCTTGCAAGTCTCCGCCGTCAGTCTCCTGAAGGAGCTGGCCCGTATCTCCCAAGGAAGGGGATTAGTCCTTGCCTTGGGGAGAAGCTGGGGTCGGGGGTGTATCTCTGCCCCCTCCCCAATGCCTGTCTCTCCCCGCAGAAGGATCTTAAGAGCTGGGTCCAGGGGAATCTCACTGCCTGTGGCCGTTCCCTCTTCCTCTTCGATGAGATGGACAAGCTGCCCCCAGGCCTGATGGAGGTGCTGCGGCCTTTCCTGGGTTCCTCCTGGGTTGTGTACGGAACCAACTACCGCAAAGCCATCTTCATCTTCATCAGGTGGGTGACACTGCTCAGAGGTCCAGCAGTCTGGTCTTGGCCTGTGCTCTCCGTGGAGTACCGTACCCCACTGTACCCCTGGGCCAGTCGGGCTTTCTCAGAGCCCCTCACCCTCATGCTGGTGAGGCTGTCATTCGTGACTGACCTCCCCTTGCACACCCTCAAAGCATGCTGGCCTAAGGCCTGGGGTTTAGCTCAGTGCTGCCTGCCTCCAAAGCGCAAGGACCCGAGCCAGATCCCCAGTACCAAAAAAAAAAAAAAAAAAAAAAAAAAAAAAAAAAAAAAAAACAACAACAAAAAACCACGCTGGGCTTGGTCCTTTGGGTCCTTGCCACTTCGTTATGTAAACCCTGGTGCATCAAGAGTTGTTTTGTGGCCAGGAGCACACAGGACTGGACTTCTGGTCTTCTAGTCCTGGCTCTGTGAGCCCTGGCTGTGTTTGCTCAGCCAAGACTGCCCGTCTGTTCTTCTAAGCAGCCTCGTTTTACTGCCATTGTCCTCCTGGAGGCTGGGTGACAGCAGGAAGTTAAGGGGCACTAAAGTGTATGCAAACTGGAAAGTGCACGGTGCAGACCCATATTACAGGGTCATTGTAGGAGCTGGAGAGGGAAGGGGTGCTTCCTGGGCTTGGCTCTGGCCCACTGATGCAGGGACAGCCGTACCAGGGAAGTGAGGGCCAAGTCCTAAGCCTCTGGCCTGTCTGCCTCTCACCCTGCGTTCATCATGATTTTAGCAACACGGGTGGTGAGCAGATCAACCAGGTGGCCTTGGAGGCGTGGCGCAGGCGCCGGGAACGTGAGGAGATTGGCCTACAGGAGCTGGAGCCCATCATCTCCCGGGCCGTGCTGGACAACCCACACCGTGAGTTAGCTCGGGGGCCCAGTCTGTGTGGCTTCGCCCCTGGACCCCACGAGCCAGCCTCCCCGAGGGGTTCCCCGGGAGCAGAAGGTTTGTGAGGCCAGCGTTGCAGCTCCACCACCCCTCGGTGGCCGGCCTCTCCCACTCATATGAGCTCGTGAGGCACAGTTTCCCCTCCCTGCCCTTCCTGCAGATGGCTTCTGGCGCTCGGGCATTGTGGAAGAGCACCTGCTGGATGCCGTGGTCCCCTTCCTCCCACTGCAGCGACACCACGTTCGGCACTGCGTGCTCAACGAGCTGGCCCAGCTGGGGCTCGAGCCCCAGGACGAGGTGGTCCAGGCTGTGCTGGACAGCACCACCTTCTTCCCCGAGGACGAGCAGCTCTTCTCCTCCAATGGCTGCAAGACCGTGGCCTCCCGGATCACCCTCTTCCTCTGACACTGGGCTGACAGCCTCACCTCCTCTGCCTGGCTAGTGCCACACAGGAAAGGCCTGGGACCTCTGCTTATGGACCCCATCCCAAGCCTACTGGAGAATGGGCCCAGAACACAAAGTCAAGATGAAGAGGGGCCAAGGACAAAGGGCCAGGAGGCCCCAGCCTCTGAACCGGTGAGTGGGCAACATGCCCTTGGCTACCTCCTCCAGGGAAACCTGGTCGCCCCACAACCTCACTCTCTTGACCTCACCCTGCAACCCGGGTCTACGTCATGTGAATTGTAACTCAGGGACCGTGGTTCCTGGCTGCTCCCTCCTTCCTGGCTCTCCTTCCAGAGCTCCTTGGCCCCATACCTGACCCCTGCCCCATCCCTCAGCCTTTGTTTCAGAATCACAGGCCACGCATGGAGGTTATTCAAGCTGCCAACTGAGCCTGGACTTAGAAGTTTTTAATTTTGTAAATGAACGAGTATAATAAACTTAGCCATGGGACCACAGGAACGTTGGCTGGGCTTCTTGTTGTCCTAGAAGGGGGCAACATTTTGTGTGCCGGTGTGGGGGACCTGTAAGATGTAGGGGCCTTACTCGGACATTCAGAGCACAGCATGATGGTCAGGGCCCTGACCAGCCTTGGACTTGCTGATGTTCTGGCCCAGGCCCTTTGTGGCATCAGTTTTGTTGGAACTTGAGCTCGTGCCCTTTTCTGGGTTCAGGGCAGCCTCAGTCTCATTGGGCATCCAGCTCTGGCCCTGGTTGGCCTTGGTATTGTTGAGGCTCCCACTTGGGTCATGGAAACCCTTGGACTTAGTCCTGCTGGAACCCTGGACTTGTCCCCAGTTCTGGCCGTGGGTAGCCTTAGCCTTTCTGAATCTCTGCCTGGGGCTCTGGGTGGCCTTGATCTTGCTGGGCCTCTGCCTCTGACTCTTGGCAGCCTTGGTTTCGCTGGAGCCCTGGCTCTGGGTGGTCTTGGGCGAGCTCTGCATCTGAGCCTGAGAAGCCTGGGGTTTTCTGGGCCGATGCTTCAGGCTTTGGGCCTCCCTCTCATTCCTGGAGTCTGAGGACTGAGACTTGGGCAGCGAGGAGTCGGAGACCATCCCAGGGGTGGTGGAGGTGCTCCTGTACTCCTGGGATGGCGTGGACATCTCTGTCCCTGAGGTGGACGCCGTCCTGACTGGGAAGGGTATGTCAAGGGCAGTTCTCAGCCCAGCCCCTGCCCTGGGCAGCTCCCCTGCCTGCATCCCTGTATCCCTGGGCTCTGTATGGCCCAAGGGGAAGGCCTGCTGATCACACCAGCAACCTGCCACCTGGCTTCCTTCTGCTGGCTGCCCCTTACCCTCTGTGCCCCCACAGGCCTGGGCCCTGCCCCGGCTGTATCCTGCCCCACCCTTCCCACGCTTAGCTACCCACCCCACCTACCCTCCTATAAGGTTGGGACTGTGTCTTCCTCTTTAGAATCATCTCCCCAAGGACACAAGGGCCATCAACAGCAGAGGCCAAGTCTAAAGGTCCTGATGTCTGAACTATTTTTGCTTTGTTTTTTTGTTTGTTTGTTTTTGAGGCAGGGTCTTGTTATGTAGTTCAGGCTAGTCTTGAACTCATATGTAGCACAGGCTGGGCTTAAACTCTCAGCCATCCTCCTGCCTCAGCCTCCCAAGGGCTAGGATTATAAGCCTGTGCCATCACACCCAGTTTGTGACCCTTGACCATTGACCACTGTGCCACTCTGGCTCACATGGGACTCACAGGACACCAGGGACTTACAGCCAAGGACGGAGCCCGAGGAGGTCTGGTCGAGGTCGCTGTCGGATGTGGACGTCACTTTGTGAAGGTTGAGCTTCAGTTTGTCCTATGGCGAGAAACAGGATGGGCAGTTGGAGTCGGAGGCCAGCTGGCTCTGGGACCCTCCAGCAATCACACTCCTAGGCTTGGAGCTCCTCATGGACGCCGGGTGTGGGTTGTATTGGGACAGAGAGGCTGAGACTGCGGCAAGGGGCGTGGCCAGTGCTCAGGGCTGCTGGGTCTTGGGCTTCACTCTTGGCTCAGGGGCTTCTGTAACCAGAGTGCTGCGTAGGGGATGGCGGTGACCAAGTGCTCGCTGCGTCACACACTTGCCCCATTTCACCCTCCCAGCACCTCCAGGGCAGGTGAGACCTCTGCTACGACCATTTCTTAGACCTCACAACCAAGCCACCTGCCTGGTGCCACTCAGCTGAGGACGGAAGCCGGCCCCTCGGCACAAGCTGGAGGCACCAATGCACCAGGTGCCCTTGCATTGAGTCCTGGGCCCCAAGCTCTGCCCAGGGCAGCTCATATCCTCTGAGGGCGGGACCACAGTGACCTCGGGACCACACAGATGGGAGCTCTGAGCATGTGCATTTGCTCCTAGGTTAGCCGGAAGAGTGAAGGACTGGGGCTGCTGGTGCTGCAGTCACCCCGTTGTGTGCAGTACCCTTCCGACGACAGCTTACCCCGTGTCCACCAGCAGGGGAACAGATAAAGAGGTCACACCCCGCACGATTGAAAGGGGCAGCTCATGTACACAAGTCTCCCAAATGTCATTTCAGGGAAAGGAGCTCGGACAGGAGGCCACCCAATATCTGTCCATCTCTGTGCAGAACAGGTGGGTGGGGGCTAAACCTGGTGGCTGATAGTTTTAGGAATGAGAGCAGCTTTGTGGCTGGGCTGGGGCAGGGAAGCACTGGGAGGCACCCGAGGGCTTCTGGGAGCCGAGAACATGTTCTTTGGCGATCCAAGCAACGGTGTCATGTTGCGTGCAGCTTGTGAAAATCCAACTGTCATCCAATTGTTTACTTCTGATCTGCCCTCTTGTCTACATTCATGCTGCATTCCACAATATCTTTAGAACCAGTGCATACCACACAAGTGTGAAGATGAGCCCAGGAAGGTGTGGGAAATTCCTCCCTGTGAGGCCCATGTCTTTACCCCCCTCCCATCGCTGGTCCCAACCCCATCCTCTACAAAATGTGCCAGTCCCAGCAGCCAGCCTCAGTTCCAGACCCTGAGGGGCCCAGGCTATGACGTGGGTCCCACTCACCTCTTTCTCTCTCCCTGCTTTCTTCCCCTTGAGGGCCTCAGTGTCTTCCCCTGAGTCTTCCAGGGATACCTGCAGCATCTGGGAGGTGAGCTCTGGCTCTTTGGGGGTCTCAGACAAAGGCCATTTGAGCTTCCAAGAGAGCTTCAGGGCCTGGGCCTTCTGGCACTCGAGATCCCGAACCCTGAGTAAGTCACCAAGCCATGGCCCCAGGCCCTGAGTTGGTCTCCTGGACTCCACCTGCCATCCTCAAGGACTAGGCAGTGGGGCCTTAGGACTTGGGAGCCGCAGCCAGCCCCACCGCTGCCCCACAGCGTGCTCTGGAAACTCACCCCACGATGCCTTGTGGGCTCTTGGCCTGCAGGCCTCTCTCCACCATCCGCTCCAGCTGCAGCTTGGCCAGCTGGCCCACCTGGCTGCTAAGCACCTCCTCCACTGACATGCCCGGAAAGAGTTTGGTCAGCAGCAGGGAGAGCTGCCAGGAAAGAGGGGGGCCAGAGCCAGATGTGGGCCGAAGCAGGTGGCAGAAGGCTGGTGCTCTGCCTTGCAGAGTCCTAGATGGCTCCTCTCGGTGCTGAATGGAGAGGGTTTGCAAGTCGTTTTAAAGGGCTGGACCTTTTTACCCCGGAAGGAGTAGGAGACTATGAGAAAGGATCCATTCCAACGCAGGTGTGATGGAACCATTCAGACAGGGCAACCTCTGAGCTGGGGCAGGGATACCTTCTGGGAGCCTTGCTCTTCGAGGGTCATAATGTTGGACTTGGAGGGAAGGAAGGAGGGTTCAAGGGAGGGATGCGGTTGACGTGGTAAGAACTCTGCCTGGCACACAAAAAGTGTTCTGGCACCAGCAGTTTATTGTTATCGGTTGCTGCAATGGGTAAATATCGTTACTGTTATCCAGTCAGATTTCTCAGGGACAGAAATCTGCCTCTGGAGCTCACCTGTTCTCCGGGCCCAGCAAGAACCCACCTTTGGTTGCTTGGGGTTCAGGAGCAGCACTGTGGCAACATCCTGGCGGGCACCAAAAATGTCCTGTAGGATCTGGCGGTTCCTGGCCCGGTACAGGTAGCACTGGGCCCTCAGGGGATTGTGCTGAATGGCTGCTGAGAAGTGGTCCTCAGCCCGCTGGAACTGCCTGCAGGGTGCAGAGGGCCCCAGACCGCTCTGAACGGGGACTGTGTCAGGAAGATGGTGGCTCCTGCTCCCCACTGAAGACAGAGAAAACCAGGGGTCCCTGCTCCCCACCACATGCCCCTCTCTTCTCCTGTCAGCCATACCGGGACAGACCTGACCTGAGACGCCGGTATGAAACTCCAGTTCTGATCTGGAGTAGGGAAAACGTTCCTGAGGCTGTCATAAACCCAGTGACTGAGAATGAAAGAAACTAACTCGACTACTATTAAATGGTGCCAAGTTAAAGAGTAGGAAAACATCACAAAGCAAAGCAACAGACAAGGGCTGGGGATGTAGCTGAGTGGCAGAGCACTTGCCTAACATGCACAGGCCCTGGGTTTGATCCCCAACACTGGTGAAAAGAAGTTTCACATCAGCCTACTCTTGTAAATAATAATCGTTTGGGTTTTTTTGTTTTGTTTTCCTTTGGTATCGGGGAATTGAATTCAGGACCTTGCACTTGCCAGGCAGGCACGGCACCACTGAGATAAATCCCCGGCCCCTTGGTAAATCATAATTGTTAAAGTATGCTTATCTTAGAGTCTGGAAGAATCATTACCAATCTTGTGGGGCAGAAAAGTTGGGAGGTATATTTTAGAATAGTTTACAATAAAAGTTCTATCATTAGTGAATGCTTGTTACCTTACACAACTATATTAAAAGAGTAATTACCATAATCAGCAGGAAGGCACGTATTTGTAGTAAAGATTTGGAAAGAAGGTTAATATTTAGTAGACCGAAGCAGCTTGCCCCAGGGATCTTAGCGGGTGACCTGGAGACCCCAGAGC